AGCAGAGACGGGTCTCGGTTCCGCTGCCCCGAGGGTGTCTGTGCCCACTTCTCCGCGCTGCGTCGCCCGCGGCTGCGGAGCCCCTGCAAGTCCCCAGGGCACCCGCAATCTTAAATTCTCCCGAGAAGCTGGACTTCGAAGTCCTTGAGTCTTCTCCACCTGACCCTGCTCACCGCAGTTTCTCTCTTTTCTCCTCAGATGTATCTCCGGCTTCTTCCAGCTCTGGGACACTCATCCAGTACACCCCCGACTCCGCCACTAGCCCCACCGCAGAGCGCCCCTCTCCCCACCCCTCTTTCCAGAAGGTCAAAGAGGAAGGTGAGGGTGTGGTGAAGAAGGCCAAGAGCCGCACAGCCTTTTCCCAGGAGCAGCTGCAAATCCTGCACCAGCGGTTCCAGAGCCAGAAGTACCTCAGCCCCCAGCAGATCCGGGAGCTGGCTGCTGCCCTGGGGCTCACCTACAAGCAGGTGAACATCTTGCTCTGAGTAGCTGAGTTGCATCCCTGGTGGGAAGTGATCCTTGCGAGCAGGGGTGGTTTTTTTGGTGGTTTTCCTTTTTTCTTGACCCCAGAGATGAGTTTCTTTCATGGTCTTGTTTATGCCATTGCTTATGTGAGAGAGCAGAGGGTGTGAAAACTTATGACTCAGTCTTCCTCTTATGTTTGGTTCCAGCACTATCCACCCACTCTGCGCAGGTGTTTGAAAGCACATACAGAGCAGGGCTATGCAGAGTCAGGTTACTGTTCTGTGTGGACATGTGTTGTCTCTGAATGTGAAAAGTCAGATACTTACACTGCTGCGCAAGTTGCCTTTCTTAGTCAGAGTGGCACCTGGGTCTCTCCCTAGAGAGAGGGTCCTTGCCCCACCAGCTACTCGTGTGTGACTGAAGGGATGACTCACTCCTGAGTCAGCACTGATCTTGGCGCAGCAGTGAGATGATGCTGCTGTATAAGGTGCGTTTCTGCAGTTGTTTTGGCCCGTCTTTCAGGTAGGGTTTTTGATGTCATGAAAGATCCCATGGTGATCTGAGAAGCAAGAATGTTAGTTTTCAAGTCTCAGCTCTGTGATTCTATGGCTACCTGGGTCTGCTGCATGTTGTTAGCTGCTGAAATTACGTACAGTATTAGAAGCCAAGCAGAAACTGGATTGTAGTAAAGGCAAAACATCTTTAGGCTGTGTAGTAAGCTCTGAGAATGAATTTCTAATGCCCTATGTCCTTTCCCCATCACTTCTAGGTGAAAACATGGTTTCAGAATCAACGGATGAAATTTAAACGTTGCCAGAAGGAGAGCCAGTGGGTGGAAAAAGGGGTGTATCTACCACAGGTGAGAGAATTCCTCCTTCCCCCATCACCACAGTCACGGTTCCTCCAGTCTGTGGGGAGAAGTGCATCATGTCCAACCTGCTAACTCGAACAATGCACAGGACTCGATATTATCCAGCCAGTTTTATTTCTTGTAATAGGGCTTACAGTGGCATCTATTTTAAGCCTGCCCTGGCACTGAAAGAGCTTTGTTTCCAGGCTACTAATCTCCCAGTTGAGACTAGATAGAAAACAAAATAGCCAAAGAGAGCCAGCAAGGCCACTCATGCTGGTTTTCTCCCCAGCATGGTGCTCCCAGACCTGTTGAGTTGGAGATTACTAACTTAAGATCTTGTCATCTCTGCTATTACTAGTCTATAGAGAGGACAATGAGTATGAAAAAGACACTATTGTTTGGCTTGGGGGAGGGGCAGGGGAGAAAGGAAGACCCATCCAAAAGAATGGGCATAGTTGGTGTGGTACTCTGCATTACTGAACAGCATTCTCTGTCTCTCCTAGAACGGGTTTCATCAGGCTGCGTACCTGGATATAACCCCCACATTTCACCAGGCCTTCCCTGTTGGTGCCAGTAGAAACCTCCAGGCTGTGACCAACGTGCACCAGGCTTACAGCAGTGGCCAGACTTATGGGAATGGGCAGAGCCTGTACTCGTTCATGGCTGTGGAGGATGAGGGGCTCTTTGGAAAAGATGGGACAAGCTGCAATACCCAGCAAGCCATGGGTTTATTAAGCCAGCAGATGAACTTCTATCACAGCTACCCTGCTGATATGGATTATGTCAGCCTGGAGTCGGAACACACCTATGGCTTCCAGAGCACCTCTGACAGCGTCACACCATTCTCAAGCTCTCCTGTACGGCATCAGTACCAGGCCCCTTGGCATCCCCTGGGGACCCAGAGTGGTTATGAGTCTCAGGTCTAAGTATTTTTTTTCTCCCTTCTCCTGTGTTCTCTCATGGGGTTTCTAGGGTCTTGACTCAGGGATCCAGTTTCTATGCCTTTCTCTTGCCCCTCTTCCCCTACTCCTGTTTTAACCATTGATTAAAAAAGTTAAAGCCTTAAAGTTAGGTTTTTTAATTGGTTAAAGCAGGGCTCAGCACCCTGCTGCCTTGGGCTAGTTTTCTGTTTAAAGGCACCTGTCTGTTCATAGCTAACCCTTGGCAAGGGTGTTTTGTGTGCGGACAGGTGAAACTTCATTCATGGAGGGGAACGTGCAATGCCACAGCCAGGAGCAGCAGAGGTGGTAAAGGTCTGTGTTTGCTGTCCAAGTCTCACCTTCCTCTGCTGCCTCTTTCGCAGGTGATCTCTGATCCTTGCCATGTGTGTCTTGCAGCAGAGCTTTGCTGGAGAAGAAAACCCTGTACTTCAGCATATTTCTGCCAGAAATAACCTGTTGTAGCCCAGAATCTTTCTTGCTGTCTTGCCTATTTCTGTTGCTACCTCAGTTAACTGCAATAGGTTCTTCATCTGCATCCTCTCCTCCCTCACCAAAAAGCTACATGAGATCATCTGACTTCAGATGACTTGATTCAGCTGCTTGATCAGCAGCTCCTCCTGGAGGGGTCAGCACCTGCCTCTATCTCTTGCCTGCTGCCCTCCTGTGTACATAGGGCAGTTGAGAGGAGGGGAGGAGCAGAGGAGAGAAAGTGGGGTATTGCCCATATCTCACGTGGAAACACTGGTTTCCAAAGCTGCTAACTTACTTGTGCCTGTCAGCTTGTTCAGGATGGTGTCTCTGGGGCTGTCCCCACCCAGTTTAGATCTTGCCTTTCTACACCTCCCTGCTGAGAGACTGTTGGCTTGTCCCAACCTGCAAATCGCAGCAGAGGGTAGCCCAAAGTGCCATTGTTGGAAGTGTGAGGAGCGGCTGTGTGTAGTCATCTTTGGAGTGGTGAGAACAGTCTGTTTATCTGTACGTGTTGGTCCCCTAGCACTTCACAAACACAGCACTGCTACAGTGCAGCTTTCTCTGGGGTAGGGGCGGGCAGCTAGGTAAAGGACTCAGTTATTTTAAAGGTGATGTTTAATGTCACTTATCCTGGAACCTGGATGTTGGGGGCTGGAATTCCTGTTGTGTCCCTGTGGAGGTGTCATCCGAGGGGCTAGAGCAGGATGGTTCCCCGCTCTCTTGTCTAATCCCAGTTTTAAGAGTGTAAACTTGTAGGATTTTTGTCCCTTCCTCAGGGCTTAGTTGGATCTCCTCTGTGTTCTGCTGAAAAGGGCACTGGCTGCCTCATCTGACATAAGTACCCAAGCTCTGGGGGAGGCGAGAAGTTTAGAGAAACCTAGTTAGGCAAAATGAGGAAAATGCCAATTAAAACTTCTGTGGTTTTTTTTTTTAAATAATTGAATCATCCTTTCCAGTATGGAGAAACTGGAAGTCGGCTCCAACCTATGTGAAACTGACTTTTTTTACAAGATGTGGAATTGCAGAGTCCAGTCTGCCACTGCCCAAGAATACAAAATGGCATGAGCTGGCAAGAGTAAATGATATGGTAAAAGCGTAAATATTTCTGTGGTAGAGTTTTTTTTGTGGTTAGTGCACAATTTTTACTGCAACCCTGTCTTCAAATGTCTGCACAAGGGTTGTATGTCGTAGTTAAACTTTCACTGCAAACGAAGCAAATGTTTGTTGTTGTTCAAGAATAATTTTTCTTAAAGTGTATTTTCTTGCAGTGATCTCAGCATGTTTTATATTATGTGCATGTTGTCTTTTATTACTTTGTTTCTGCTTAATGTTCTTACAAACTTGTTTGAATTGAAATAAATTACTTTATTTTAATGTGGAAACAGTGTCTCCAGCTTGCATTGGAACAGCCTGCTATGAGAATGGTTATTCTGCACAGGTTAGACCAGCAGTACTGAGGAAAGGTAGGAAAAAGTAACCCTACTGTGTTTCTCCCAGAAGTATGATCAAGGTATTGTTTAAAAGGAGTAGGTCACAGAAGTCCATCAGCCTTGCTTTTAACATGCAGGTGCGTTGCCTAGTGCAAGGGGGGATCTCCAGGGGTAGGCAACTGGACTGCCAGCTACTGGCTTACAGTAATGTGCAGCCCCGTAACATGCTTGTATTAGTCCTTAAACTGCAGTGCTTCAAAATAAATATTTAAGTATGAAGGTAGGAGCAAAAGAAAGTGTCTTTTGAGATTGTGTGACCACCTGCTGCTGCTCCAGAAGGTCGCAGTTAGAGGTCTGGAAGTCCTGCCTCATTGAGGCTGCAGCTCTCTTGGGGTTCTTGTGCTAACCTCAAATGGCAGCAGAAGTTTGTGCATAAGTAACTGAATCCTGCCTCCAGCACTGAAACAAAGATTTATTTCTTTCCCTGCTTTGCCCCAAGACTGTGTTTATCTCCTCTTAGTAGCTGGGAGCAACATTTAGAAGGTACCGGAACATGCGAGACAGACACGTTGGGACCGAAGCAGTGCATCAGCAGCCACCAATTTGAGACTTAGTGAACCTCTTTCTGCTCAGTGAGCTTTGATTCATCAGAGCCTTGCTTTCCTTAGATACCTCTTAGTTTGAACACCTGTGCAACTTGCATGAAGCCAAGGGCTGCAAATGTCCATGGACAGCAGCACTAATGGAACAAAGCAGCTCTCTGTGTTCAACGGCTGATGCTACTGCTGTGTCAGCAGAGCAAAGCTCCTGTTAATAGCCATAGTTTTAAACTAGCAAAAATGATCTGTTTGGGTTTAATCCCAGGTTCCTTAAACTACAGTACACCACCAAAGCTTTTAATTTGCCTGAAAGGGGTAGTTCAATAGGTACTCCCACTGAGGACAATTAGCTAAACTGGCAGCTGACTGCTCAGGCTCAAACTACCACAGGTCCTTTGCTGATCAGAACCTGCTTGTGTGGGTGCCAAAGCATGTCTGCTTTCCTTTTGCAATACTGTAACGCTCTGCTTCCCAGGGTGAGGTGGAATATGTGCAGGAAGGAGAGGGAGTGGAGGTCTGAGGCTGTAGAGGATGAAGAAAGGCTGAGTTGTCCATGCATGGGTTGCCAACCTTCAACAGTAGAAATACATAAATCTGGCCTGGAAGAGGGGGAAATGCCAGGTTCACAGGGTTTTCTGTATTACAAAACAGAGATCCTTTCTCATCCTGACTTGAGTCTCATGCCCCAACATCAGTTTGGATGAATTCTGGGTGATGCTTTAGTGGTAGTACTGTTAATTTCAACAATTCCCTTGAAAAAACAAAGCTGAATCATATACCTATAAAAGTCATAGATACTAAAGTCTTGCCTTTCAGCTTTAAAATTAGCAGCTTCCAGTTTGTTTGTTTGGTTTTTTAAGATGCAAACTTAAGCTCTAAAGAAATACACAAGCTGTGCAGGTCTTTGCAGAATGATTGCAAAGGACACTTGCTACAGATTACCTGTGTTGCCTGGGCATGTTTCTCTTCCATGTTTCTGCCACAAGGGTAAGGAGGTAGCCAAAGCTCTGCTGGCAGATGTCCTCCTGCAGAAGCAGATATTGTTGCTAAAATAGCTCTGGGACTGAGATGACTTGCTCTGCGTGCTGTGGTTTGTGTTCCTGCATTTACCATGGGACCGTTCTACAGAAATGGAGCGTTCCTTCATGGGTGTGTTATTCTCCTGGTTGCTCAGCCTGGGTTGCACACAGGTTTGGCAGGCACATGTAGCTGCAGAGCTGGAGGGAACATGCAGAGTGGCTGTTTGGAATTTTGGTGAGTGGGCTGGAAAGGACTGCTAGTAGATCAGGAAGGGTTTCTAGAAGCTGTGGAATGAAGTAGGACTCTGTCTTTCCACAGTGCTGGAGATCTCCTCTGTTACCTTGACATGCCTGAGTCACCTCGCCATGTGAAACAGCTGCACAGCTAATTGCAGCACTACTACCAAAATGGTGGAGCTGCAATTAATCCCTCCAGACTCATACTTCCGAAAGGGTTTATACCAGTTCCTCAGAGGAAGTAAGTACATGTCAGCAAAAGCCCTTTCTGCTGGGATACATTACAACTCTGTTAGGACTGCTGCTTCTTATGACTGCTGTCTAACAGTGACTTCTGCACATTGCAAACATGATTCACTTTGCCAGCAAATCTTTTTAGCATCAAGCTGTAAGCTCATGTGGAGCTCTTTATATGTATTATAGCTTGTGGGAATACACTGCACTTTCACAGTATCTCTGCAGTGTCAACACTCCAGTTTGTCAACGCTGCAGATGTAGCTCCAGTGGTGCAGAGAATCCCACCCAAACAGAAGAAATTAGATCTAGTACAGACTATGTAGACCAAGGTTTATTCTCTAGTTTACTGGGTTCCAGCCTTTGCTGTCCCGTAGGCAAAATACCAAGCAAGTAGAGTGGTGCAGGCAACCTCATTCCTTGCTCTCTGTGTCAATGTGGCCTGCAGCAATGTCTTACAAGCTGCATGTTTCTTCCGAGTGGCCCACGAGCAAGGGCTCACAGCCCCAGTTGCCTCTCCAGTGCAGATAAAAGGTATGATCTTTGCTTTAATAGGCTCTTCCCTACAGGCATCTGTAAACATTATATTTAGTTATCTAACTACACTGCATGACTCAAATGCTGAGCTAACAGGGTTTCGGAAATTTTCAGTAAAGCATTGCCACACATCTCTTGCTTGGCCCATCATCCGTGGCCAGCAGCACCTTGGCTGATACTGAGCAGTCAAGAGGCATGAAGAATCCAAAATCATGGCACTGGTCTTAGATTAAAAAAAAAAAAGTTGTTTTTCTTTTCCTGTGAGGGCCATGTTATCTTCATGCTGTCCAAAGTTTTGAAGAGCACCCTCAGGTCATATCTGTGAATCTCTTTCATAATCAGGCTAGAATTAATTTCTCACATTTAATGGAAGCACATCTGCTCACAGACAGGGTGTGTCTGAATCACTAAATCTTTTACAAATTACAACATTGGGACTGCTGCCTTGGGTTGAGCCC